ACACAACACTACCCTAAAACAAACTGCCTATTGGTCATCAAAGAGTAGGCACACTTAAAACAATATGTATTCAATGGCAAAGTAACATAATGCTTTTTGTGAAATGTTTAATATTTTCTTTGTTGTATATAATGAGACAGAGAACAAAAGTCTGTCATGTAATTAAGTCAGGCATTGTTCTAAGCAGCGTATAATCATTTAGTCACTACAGTTTTTGAAAATAAGGACAAGCATCTACCCTATGCTACACTCTTTTTTTTTTCAGATAGAGAAACTAGTGCAAAGAGAAAGTAAATTGCTCAAATTCTCAAAGCTAGAGCTAGAAAGTTGGTTCAGCAGTTAAGAGCACTGGCTGATCTTGCAGAGGACCCAGGTTCAGTTCCCAGCTTCCACATGGTGGCTCACAACCACCTGTAACTCCAGTTCCAAGGGATCTGATGCTCTCTTCTGGCCTCTGTAGGCACTGCAATGGCATGGGTGCACTTACACACACGCAGGCCAAATACTCATACACATACAATAAAAAATGATGATGGAAGTAAAAACACAGTAAGTCAAGTAAAAAATTAGTGGAAAGCCTCATCAACAGAATGGATCATACAGTAGATAGTATATATACACATAAAATAAAAAGAAACATTTTAATGAGGTTGGTTTAAAAAATCATAAAGTTAGTAAGTGGTGGGAACCCGAATAATCTGACTACAAAGACTGTTCTTCTTATCACTACAAAAGCAAATTACTTGAAAGCATTCACTAGGCTATGGTTAGAGGGATAGTTTGCATGGTCTATTACTGCTTTTGGCAAGGTAAAGAGACAAAACGTTCCTCAAAGCAGCTGAAAATTCTGAAAGGAGACATTATTACTACTACTGACCCAAATTAAAAACAATATTACAAGTTCATAATTAACCAAATACTCTCATTAAAAAAAAAAAAAAAAAAAAAAAAGGTTACCTCATCAGGTAAAGGTGCTTGCCTTGCAAGCCTTCAGACCTCAGTTGAATCACTGGATCCCACATGGTGGAAAGAACTGATTCAAATAAGTCATCCTTTGATATCTATGTATTTGCTATCACACACACACACACACACACACACACACACACACACACACACGCACACAAAATAATGGTTTAAAAAAAGGTAAAGATTTAATAGGGACATGGCAATGTGGCACAAAGGACAAAAAAGAATAAAATAAACACAAGAACTGGGCGTGGTGGCACACCTTTATTCTGAACACTTGGGAGGCAGACGCAGGCAGATTTGAACTATGTGAGTTCAAAGCCAGTCTGGATTAGTGAGTTCCAGGCCAGCTGGAACTACAGGGAGACCTGTCTCAAAAAGACCAAAACACACACACACACACACACACACACACACACACACACACACACACACAAGAAGGAAAAGAAAGACAGGGACAAAAGATCCTTGGGAGTCTCCACTAAATGAAGGAGTCAACCAGGCAGTAATGTTAGGACATAATGCTGGGAAGAGGAATGGAACAAGGTTAGAGAGTGAGCTCCCCTATTGGCCAGGTATCAATACCATCCCCAGAACAATGTGGAGCTCAACTGCGATTACCACTTGAAGTACAGGGAGAAACTGGAAAAGGATCAAGCAGAACAAACAGACCAAAATAATAGTATGAATTAGGAAAAGAAAGAACATGGGGTTACTTATCAAAGAAGTAAGGGTTGATTTTAATTATGGCTCTCAGACAATACTATTTGAATGTTCTTTCTCAGACTCTTCACAGGCTTTGGCTCTTTCTAGTCATTTAAATTCTAGTCAAACATTACTTTCTCAGAGGCTTTCATCCAAAGTAGCCATCCCAGTTTCTAGCAGATCACTGTTTTGTTCCCTTCATAGCCTGAAACACTGAGGTTCTTCCTGTTTATATATTTGTGTTCCCTCTTGTTCCATTAGGATGTGAGTGAGCAACACAAAACCATGGGTCGTAATCACCTAGTCTCTAACAAATACTGATGGTACCTAGGACATGGGGGCATCCTATACATATCTATAAAGTCTATGTCCCAGAAGCAACATGGAAAATAAGCTTTCAAACTAGAGCACAGAAGACATGAGTAAGGCACAGGAGGCATAATGGATTAGTAAATTATGACAAGAATTAGGTGACAAAGGCTTTTTCCTTGGCTTGCTATGCTCTAAGGATCCTTTCAAATTCCATCTTGTAACACCCCAATATAGCATAGGACATTGCAGCTATGCTAATTTTCTCCCTTTCATAATGTTTTTATTCAAAGAAATGTGATCTCAAATTAAATACATAGATATTTATATGAGACTAAACATAGTATAACGAATTTCCTCATTATACAACCTAAACATTTCCAACACAACAGGCAATCTCCATGTCTGCTATATTGCTCCCAAACATACACACACACACACACACACACACACACACACACACACACACACACACACACACTAGATTTTTTTTTTTTTTTCTTCTTTTTTTGGTCTTTCTGACACAGGGTCTCGCTGTAGCCCCAGCTGGCCTAGAACTTGCTATGGAGACCAGGCTGGCCTTATCTCTTAGAGCTCTGCCTGCCTCTGCCTGGTTACTCTAAACTCTAGTATCAGTAGATACTAGATTAGTGTGACGGTTAATACACTGACTGTCAACTTGATAGGACCTAGAATCACATAGGAGACAAACTTCACAGCATACCTAAGAAGGATTATTTACATTAGGTTGAGGTAGGAAGAACCACCTTTACTGTTAGGTGGGTGGCACATTTCCATGGGCTCCAGTCCTGGACAGAATCAAAGGGAGAAGGCAAGCTGAGCACTACCATTCATTGTTCTCTACTTGCTGACTGTAGACACTGCTGCCTCCAGCTCCTGCCACTGTGACTTCCGAGACATAATGGACTGTATGCCCTTGGACTGTAAGCAAAAATAAACCCTTCTTGTTGGGAGACCTCTGTTATGCAAAAGTCGAAGCCCCTTCACACCGGACAGCTCATGCAGCTCGGGGAATGTGCTGTGGGCTCCTTTTCATAGCAAGGTGCTTTCTGGCATCTTTCCTGTCTCTCCCTTTGAAGTGGCCGCCACAGATGCCTTGACATAAACATGGCCTTTGGCTCTATGCATACCATGCCTTCCTGTGTGTGATTTTTACAGGTAGACAATAGTCTAGCAGAAACCCACTTCCACATGTAAATAGAATATCTCACAAAGTATCTAAAAGCTTTTACCACTACCCCCATGGTATATAAATATGCTAGTCTTCTCTTAATAGTCGGAGATCAGGTCAGAGACTGGGAGATCAGGCCAGAGACTGGGAGATCAGGTCAGAGACTGGGTCCCAGAAAGCTGGATCAGCAGAGAGCTGGACAGCAAGGAGCAGAGATACAATAAAGCAGTAAACACAGACTAAGCCGTGCCTTGAGTCCTGTGTCTTACTACCGGCGACCTGATCTCACCGGAGAGCAGCACTCTCCGTTACCGACCCACGGATATCCTAGCTTTCGCCGCCTCCGTGTTTCTTCCCTGTGGAGTTCACTGGCCAGGACTCCGCAATCCTGAGGAAGGGCATAAGGGTGTAAAAGAGGCGGAATCCCGACTAGATAATACTCTAGTAGCAGAAGAAGCTCTCCGCTCCAGAGAAGTGTGTAGCTATCAGCTACAGCCAGCATCAGAGAAGTCTTTACACCTGCCGTCTCCAGAGAGGCGCAGCCGGCCAGGCCCGCCAGCCGCTAGCTAGCCAGCGGGACCAGAACCACGGCGGGAGAGTGCACGTACACCTGACCCTGGGCCACATCCAGAGTGAGTGCGCCCGGGAGCCCAGGCGCGCTCCCCACATCGCCTGCAGCCAGACTCACGCCGGGATTAGCCAGGTGTGGCGGAGACCCCAGGGTGCCCGCACACACCACGCCGGGGGTCAAGCGACACGCACCATACCTTCTTTCCTTAATTTCCTTCTTCTCTGGTATTTTGTTACAGCATGGAGACAAATAACTAGTATAAACAGCAATCTTTATTCTGTCTTTAAAAAGATCAGGGGACAGTGAGATGGCTCAGTAGATAGACACTTGCTGTCAAACCTGACACCCTGAATTCAATGCTCAGAACCCACATGGCAGAAGGAGAGAACCAACTCCTGTAAGTTGTCCTCTGACTTCCACACAAGCACCATGGTGCATGTGTGATTTATATATATATATATATATATACATATATATATATATATATTAAGATTTAAAAATGTGATCAAGTCTCAAATGCATATAATTCCCTTCTTTCAAGAAATCTAAGAACTCCGCTGACTATGGTGGCTCACACCTGTAACTCCAGCACTCAGGAGGCTGAGGTACAAGGATTATCATGAGTTCAAAGCCAGACTGGGTTATAATGTCTCAAAACAAAAAACAAAGTAATAGCAACAAAATATAAGAACTCTAAAAACAAGAACATGGAATAAGCTCTAGGAGAGATTTTATTATCAATCAATACATACATACATACTTTATAAAAAGGTCAGTAGACATTAGTAAAAATAGTATCTCAAAAATCACTAAATAATCCCTAGGTGATATGTAGTTGGAAACAGTGACATTTTAGGTGCTATATTATAGCAGAAACTAAATTTAAATTTGAAAAATGTTGGGGCTAGAGAGATGGCTCAGCAGTTAAGAGCACTGGCTGCTCTTGCTGAGGACCCAGGTTTGATTCCCAGCATCTACATGGTGGCTAACAACCATCCATAGCTCCAGTTCCATGGGAGTCAATGCCTCCTTCTGAGCTTCTTAGACATTGCACAACACAGGTGCACTTATACACATGCATGCAATACACTCATACACATAAAAATAATAAATTTTTTTAAATTTGAAAAATGTTGAGACTTAAGAAAACTAAGCTGCCTTTTTCCCCCTCTATCATCCTGATAAATATCATTCCCATGTACACTGGCAGGCCAAGGAACACAAAAGCAGACATAATTAATTATCAAAATATACCTGTTTATCTTCCAGCAGGTCTGGCTCTCCTTTACTGGACTCAGAGCTGACATCATCTTCATCAGAACTGCTGATGACTTCGTCATCAGATGGCAAGTCACCAAGACCAAGATCGAGATCATCCTGTCCTTCTTGGGATGCTCCAGAACTGCTTCAAAGGAAAACACCCCATTAGTCACCTTCAATATCAAGAAATGCTAACAAAACCAAACCAGAACCAAACACCTTATCCTAGCCATGTGAACATACCTAAAGGATTCAGAGAATTGGAACTGGCCAGATCAACCAAATCTTGTCTTGCCTTTCCCTGCTTGTGCTGTGAAGAACTCAAGTTCATTTTGCATTTAAAATTTAACTATAATATGAGTTTAACATTAGACTGATGATAGGAAGAGAGAAAGCATTTCCCAGCTGCCTCTACCTTATGCTTCCATGTGTCCTTCCTGGTATAAATCAAAAGGCCTTATAGGAAGTGGGCTTACTCGAAAGGGCACTAGATGGATAGATAAACTAGAAGGGTTGTTGAAACCTTGGGTCTCAATACTCAAAAACAACAACCAAGTGCCAAATCTGTAAACACTGCAAAGCAATGAAGGTAAGATTCCAACCGCCAGCATATGTGTGATTGTGAACATGTGCCCACAACCTTAGTTACCACTGATTTATACTTGCAGTATAACATGTGAGAAGAACAGGGGAGTTAGAGATTCTCAGGCTCCATCTTCTTCCTACAGAATTAGAAACACTAAAAGGTACAGAGAGAGCTCAGCAACCTAACAGGATATTTTAACAAGCCCTTCAGGTGATTCTGACTCAGCCTGAAGTCAGCAAACCACTTCCAAGTCATTTATCAGCTCCTCCTGTCAGCCTGACATCACCAAGGTTTTCCAGCGTGTACTGAGAGAGCTCATGAAGCTAACAGTCACTGTTGCAATCTGCTCTGTAAGGGGAATTCCATGGGCAAGTTCCCTAGAAGATGATGGAAATCATCCTAGCTTAAGTTGTACAGATTTAGGAACAAGTTGCTTTTTGAAACTGCTTTTCTGAGACCAGGCTGTGAGTATAATCTCAACATCTGAGGTGCTGAGGCAAAAGGACTACTTAGGCTACAGTGTAAGACTGTTTCAAAAAAATAAACATAAACAAAAAAATATTGCTTTTCTAATGTCTAATGTTAGAGTATCTACAGAATAGAATATAGGTGAAGCCAGTAAAAGATCCAAAGAAAACTACCAGGAAAAACTCTCTAGCAGAATAAAGAGACACTTGGCATTCCATATCTGTGGTTCTTTTGCAGGTCATGGAAGGGTCACTCAACTGCCAGGGCTCCAAGTTATACAAATTTCTAACGCGAATCTTAAAAGCCAAAGATAAATTTTCTGCCAGTTCCTATTACATACTGTAGAATAACAGACTTGCTATAGAAACCACTCCTGTAGTTTAAGTATTACACAAACCAGTTGGATAGAGGCAAAATGCCAAAAGGAACACCTGCCACCAAAGACACTGTTTTTCTTTCTTTCTTTCTTTCTTTCTTTCTTTCTTTCTTTCTTTCTTTCTTTCTCTTTCTTTCTCTCTCTCTCTCTCTTTTCTTTTTTTTTTTTTTCTTTTCTTTTCTTTTCTTTTTTTTTCTTTTCTCTTTTTTTGACCTTTTTGAGACAGGGTTTCCCTGTAGCCCCAGCTGCCCTGGAACTCACTCTGTAGACCAGGTTGGCCTTGAACTCACAGAGATCCGCCTTCCTCTGCCTCCCGAGTGCTGGGATTAAGGCATGCACCACCACAGTGGCTCAGTGAGATTTTCTAGTAATTGAATTTAGGTCTGGTGAGATTTGGGAGGCAAATAAGGTGAAAATCCTTTCACATTAGAGCATTTTGGACTTTGGAGCCTTCCGATCTTATTGTATGTATGTGTGAAGTTCACAAAGAATAAATATTTTTTTTTTTTGTCTTTTTGAGATAGGGTCTCACTGTAGCCCCAGTTGTCCTGGAACTCACTGTGTAAACCAGGCTGGCCTTGAACTCACAGAGATCTGCCAGCCTCTGCCTCCTATTACTCAGTGGCCAGGGCCTCAGGGAACCTTATCACTCAAAGAGGTGGATGCTCACCTTATCATAGGTGGCCTTGAGACTCACGCCCTGGCAGGGAGAGGCTGAAGTTTCCAGTCAGATCACTACAAAATTAGCTTTCTGTGGGAGCAGGGACAAGAGCCAGCTGGGTTATTAGCTGTTGATTTATATTGGCAACATAAATAAGAGTGAAGAAGATACAGACTGTGGAGCCCATTCATGCAGATAGAAGAAAATGTACCTTCACTTTTTGTGGGAAAGGAAGGGGGTTTCATCTGTGCTAGGGACCAAGGGTCTTAATGCAATGGCAATGGCAATGGCTCTCCCACAGAGTTACATCCCCAGCCCTATCAGTTTTCATCTTAGTTCCTTATCTCTTTTATCCACTAAAACCTTGTTATCTCAATGTAAGTTAAATTTCTGAGCAGCATTTTAGCATTATCCGGAAACATCCTAGAAATGCAAACATCTCAGTCCCTACCCTGATCTACAGAATCAGAATCTGGGTTGTAACAAACCCCAGTGATGTGTGAGAAGCTCTGCTCTAAAAGGCTTTCCCCATTAGCCCATCTGTGGATTGTTTGGGACCTAAGAATTCTAGGTGATTAGTAGTGTGGCACTGTGAAGAAACTGGGTTTTTATTTTGTACAGAGAGCTGAAAGGTATTTCTTGATCAAACATTTAAAAGGCTTTTATTAAGATGGTAACGAGTTGTTACATCCTTTAGAAATCAGAGTCAGATGTGATTATACATCTGTAATCCTAGTACTTTGAGAGACTGATAAAAGAGGATCATGAGTTTGAGACCAATCTAGGCTACATGACAAAACTCTGTCTCCAAGGTAAAAACACAAAAACGGCAACTAAATAATCCTCCAAAATGGATTAAAGTACAAAAGTTACTATTTAAGAACAGGGAAAAGCTAGGTGTCATGGATAGGATTGAGCATATGGCTGGGTGGCCGAGTATTTTTCTAGCATGCAGGAGACCCTGGGTCAACCCCAGCACCACAGAAAATGAAAACAAAACTATAAGGATCAAAACATACTGATATGAAACAGTAGAATACTTTTCAAGTAGTTTTACTTCCAAAGATTGCTTACAGACTAAAAACCTTCCCTGATTGTCTTTGTTCATGTCTTGCACATCTATTCATCTCCTCTGGATCCTATATGATCTTACCCACTAGCTATGCACTGGTTCTCTTCATGCACATGTACTCACAAAGCAACTATGTTTTCAGCTGAATCCCCAGCACACTGCCTGACACGGAATAGGCCCGCAAGCAGTTTTTACCATTTTCAATGGTGAAGCAGTCTGAAGGAAGATGGCTACATCAGGGATTAAGAGGGAAGGATTGCTATGAGAGGCAAAACAAAACTCACAGAAGGTTTTGGAGTACATTTTATCAGCAGAGCAAGTAACAGTAAGCAAAACAGAGACTGGTAACAAGGGACCTGATTTAAAAGGGAAGATATGAGCTCAGCAGTATAATCAGGGAAGATGGCATCTAGGACCCACACTCATTGTTTTCCTACAGAACTGTTAGAAGCTTCCAACACAGCCTAGATAATTTTAGACTTCTGATAACAAAACACAGGCTCCTCGCTGATGCCAACCCTGTAGTCTGGAGCTCTTCTATTCTTTTTATTTCCTTCCCACTGCCAGGAAAATAACACACCAACACTGCTTTGCAGGTTAAAAGAACAGGACATTGTGTTTCCTCCTCATCTTCCTGCCTATTTAGTTCTGATTCTAACGGTCCACGTAAAAGGAAAGTGGGCTTCAAGAAAACCAGAACAAAGCCACAGCTCTACCTCACTGGGCTATCCTTTCCAAGTCAGATTGGCTTCTGGAAGATCGATTTCTAGAGACCAAGAGAAACAGAAGCCAGAAGATAATTCCTACTGACAACCTTCTGTTCAAGTCCAAGAGCCAAGGTCTATACATTGGTGTGATGACTAGTCAATGCCATCACTTAAAATTACTTATTTTTTTCAATGTGCTAAATTCTATATATGGACAAAACATCTTCCACTGAAAAAGTACAGAAAATTTTATGTAAAAATATCACACTAAGAGTCATCTTTAAAAAGGAATGATCTTTTAGAAAATATTTAATCTACTTCCTCCACATTTTAGAAACATAAAACATGCAGTGCTGAGCCAGACCTCATAGTTGCCAGAGATCATCACAAAACACCCCTGTGCATTTCTACTGAATAAAATATCCCAGCAAGGGAGGGAGAAAGACAGGACAGCAGAGGGAAAGGAAGCAGAGGACTAATCAAGGAACATTCCAACTAACTGATGGTCTGTCCAGTACCTTTACCTTCAGAAGTTTCTGGCTCATTATCAAGTCACAACAGGTAAATCTGAATTTCTGTGCTCTTTTTCTTCTGCCTTCTACACCTGACCCTAATTGGGCAGAACCTGCTTGTCCTCAGGATGTTGGCTGTAATTCTTTTCAACTGCTGTCTCATTATGACTTCATGACTGTCTGTTTCCTCTAGCTGTTTTCATATTTATCACAGTGGGAAAACACGAATAAAAGTCTTTAAGGATGAACATTACAAGAAAAACTTAGCAATAATTTGTTGTTTTGTTTTGTTTGAGACAGGGTCTCCCCGTAGCCCAGCAGGCCTGGAACTCATTATATAAACCAAGCTGACCTTAATCTCACAGAGATCTGCCTGCCTCTGCCCTCTGAAGCAATACATTTTTAATGATTAGCTAATCAGTTATTATAAGCTAACAGTATAAAACTAATCTGTAATATCACCAGAAAACTCTGTTACCTCAATTCCATTCTAAAACTTTGAAGTCAGGGTCACAGGGAAACCATAGATCAAATAAACAACAAAAATTAAGAACCTCTTTCCTTCATATTTTTGGTTTTTAAAATTTGTTTTTCTTTGTGGTGCAGGGGACAGGGCCCAGGGCTTTGTGAATGCTAAGCAAGGGCTATTGCTGAGCTACAGCTCTAGCCCCAAAGACCTTTTTTTGGGGGGGAGGGGCAGGGTTCTTTTGGTCTTTTTTGAAACAGGGTCTCCCTGTACCCCAGCTGGCTTGGAATTCACTAT